ACACAAACAATGAATTGTGTGGTTTAAAAATGACCTGATTATTGGCATTTTTTATGGGTTAATTCATGTGATGTGTGTGTATAGGTGTGTGTGTGTGTGTGTGTGTGTGTGCGAGCGTGTGTGTGTGTGTTGTGTTTCCCATGTTGTGTAATGTGAGTCCGCAGTGACGCACACATCCTTTATGCTAATGACATGAGTCACTTTGATGTGAAAGTTTCTGAACACGAAAACTAACAGAGCAGTCGATTTGACTGCTATAGTTTTGTAAGTGTGAATACCTTTATCTGTCCCACAGAGAAATGTCAGTGTTGCAGCACACAAGATTGATGAACAATCACAGTATACTAAAATACAATAACGTCTCTAACTTTAGAATAATAAACATATTACCATGTTAGCACGTTAGCCTGTTAACAAAAATAAAACAGATAAAACAGTAAACAAATGTCACTGTGAAATTGATCGACTAAAACAGTTCAAAACAAGTGCAAATCATTAAAGTGCTCTGTTCACACTGATAACAGCCTGTGGATAAAAACTGTTAGCGTAACGAGATGTTCTGCATCTCAGAGAGCGATATCTTCTGCCAGAAGGAAGAAGCTGGAACATGGCTTTTCCAGGGTGGCCAGAAGAGTCATTGACAATCCTAAGAGCTTTGTTTAAAAGTCTGGAATTATAAAGAACCTCCAGAACAGGAAGCTCACAGCCCACGGTCCTCTTTGCAGAGCGGAGCACCTTGTTTAAAGCTCTCTTTTCTTTATCTGTGATGTTTCCAAACCACACAGACACAGAACCAACAAGTAAACTCTCAATGGTGCAGCGATAAAAGTTAAGCACAATCTTAGAGTTAGTGGTAAATTCTCTAAGTTTACGCAGAAAGTAGAGACGCTGACGAGCTTTCTTAACGACTCGGTCAGTGTTTTTAACCCATTTCAGGTCGTTAGACAGAGTTAAACCCAGAAACTTGCACTCCTCTACGATCTGCACCTGGGAGTTGTCGATTACGACAGGCAAATGAGAACTATTGCGACTGAAGTCGTAGACCAGTTCACATGTTTTCGATGCGTTCAACTGGAGGTTGTTAGTTTGACTCCACTGAACCACATTTTGTATCTCTGCTCTATAAGAGGATTCATCATTGTTACTGATGAGACCGATGATGGTGGTGTCATCAGCATATTTGATGATCAAGTTTGAGTCAGAGGAGGACACACAATCATGAGTGTACAAAGTAAAAAGCAAAGGACTGTTTGGATGTAGTTTTATTCGTCTCATTGTGAAACCTGAGTTCTACCTTTGGCTCTGATCATCTGTGAAACATTTAAATGAAGGCAACTATTTCCCAGAATTCCATTGGTTTGAATGACGGCAAAATGACGATGACACAGACACACATACACACACCCACACACACACATACACGCACACACGCGCACACACACACACCCATCCTTACCTCAATCATTCATTTGTTCCCGTGGCTCTGTAAAGTGTGAGAATCCTGCACCAGTTCATGTTTGTGTTTATTCAGTGTGAGTCAAAGTGCGTCAGGATCAATGAGACTCAGACTCCGGCGTCTGCTCTCGGCTCTCGGCTCGTGCCAGAACAATGCTCTCGTTTGTCTCAGTATCGAGTTACCTGCGTCTCCAGAGCGCCGCTGTTAGCTCTGAGCGCTAATGGAAAGAACTGAAGTGTGATGCTAACATCTGTCTGAGGCCGCCAGATGCTAGCGCGCTGCTACAGCCCCAGTCCTGGGTCTACAGCCTCAGTCCTGGGTCTACAGCCTCAGTCCAAGGAAAAGAATTAGCATTACTTTGGACAGGAGACCCACAGAGGCCAGAGGGGCCACTGCTGAGGTCCAAGTGTAAAAGTGTGTTCAGGTGAGGATGAGTGGGGATGTAATCCGGTCCTGGTCCACTCCTCTGGTCCTGGTCCAGTCCTCTGGTTCTGGCCCAGTCCTCTGGTCCTGATCTAGTCCTTTGGTCCTGGTCCAGTCCTGGTCCTGGTCCAGTCCTAATCCCGGTCCACAGTCTTGCTCTATCTCCACATGTGTGATAATGAATCGTCCTTGAGTTTTGCCCTCCCTCTGTGCCGAGTAAATCTGCTGACTGCTCTGCTCCACGAGGCGAGAGGGGAGGAGGAGGGGGGGAGTAGGGAGGAGGAGGGGAGAGAGGAGGAGGGAGAGGAGGGGAGAGGGGGAGGAGGAGAGAGGAGGAGGAGGAGGGGGGGGGGGGAGGGGAGAGGAGGATGAGGAGAGAGGGGGAGGAGGAGGAGGGGAAGGGGAGAGGAGAAGGATGAGGGAGGGGAGAAGGGGAGGAGGGAAAGGAGAGGGGGAGGAGGAGACGAGAGGGGGAAGAGGAGGCGAGAGGGGGGGCGGAGGAGGAGGAGGAGGGGAGGGAGGAGGAGGAGAGAGGGAGGAGGGAGGAGAGAGGGAAGGGGGGAGGGAGGAGAAAGGGGAGGAGGAAGGAGAGAGGGGGAGGAGGAGGGTAGGGGGGGAGGAGGGTAGGGGGGGAGGGGAGGAGGAGGAGAGAGGAGGGAGGGGAGGGGGAGGGGAGGAGGAGGAGAGAGCTTTCCAAAAGCAGTAACGCTATTGAACTCTCATATGCACTGAATTTCTATATCTTGTTTATTATATTTATAACTCCAGAGCAAAATGCATCTGTGCACTTCAATGTTACTCATGTGTTTCTGTGTGTGTGTCTGCTGACTGTTTCTGTGTGTGTGTCTGCTGACTGTTTCTGTGTGTGTCTGCTGACTGTTTCTGTGTGTGTGTCTGCTGACTGTTTCTGTGTGTGTGTCTGCTGACTGTTTCTTTGTGTGTCTGCTGACTGTTTCTGTGTGTGTGTCTGCTGACTGTTTCTGTGTGTGTGTCTGCTGACTGTTTCTCTGTGTGTGTGTCTGCTGACTGTTTCTGTGTGTGTGTCTGCTGCCTGTTTCTGTGTGTGTGTCTGCTGCCTGTTTCTGTGTGTGTCTGCTGACTGTTTCTGTGTGTGTGTCTGCTGACTGTTTCTGTGTGTGTGTCTGCTGACTGTTTCTTTGTGTGTCTGCTGACTGTTTCTGTGTGTGTCTGCTGACTTTTTCTGTGTGTGTGTCTGCTGACTGTGTCTGTGTGTGTGTCTGTTGACTGTTGTGTGTGTGTGTCTGCTGACTGTTTCTGTGTGTGTGTCTGCTGACTGTTTCTGTGTGTGTGTCTGCTGACTGTTTCTGTGTGTGTGTCTGCTGACTGTTGTGTGTCTGCTGACTGTTTCTGTGTGTGTGTCTGCTGACTGTGTGTGTGTCTGCTGACTGTTTCTGTGTGTGTGTCTGCTGACTGTGTGTGTGTGTCTGCTGACTGTGTGTGTGTCTGCTGACTGTTTCTGTGTCTGCTGATTGTTTCTGTGTGTGTGTCTGATGATTGTTTCTGTGTGTGTGTCTGCTGACTGTTTCTGTGTGTGTCTGCTGACTGTTTCTGTGTGTGTCTGCTGACTGTTTCTCTGTGTGTGTGTCTGCTGACTGTTTCTGTGTGTGTGTCTGCTGCCTGTTTCTGTGTGTGTCTGCTGACTGTTTCTGTGTGTGTGTCTGCTGACTGTTTCTGTGTGTGTGTCTGCTGACTGTTTCTGTGTGTGTGTCTGCTGACTGTTTCTGTGTGGACGCTTCTGTGGAGGTGCATGTGTATAGTGGCAAATACAGTCTAATCTATAATCTACAATCTAGAGGGGAGGAGGAGGGGAGAAGGGCGGGGGCTCACACTGGCCCCGCCCCCTGTGGTCTCTGGAGAAGTGAGTCCCAAGTGTGAGCCTAGGTGAAAGCCCTCTGGTCTCTGTTGATGGTCTCTGTTGATGGTCCGTGAATCTGGTCTCTCTGCAGTGGTCAGTCCTGATTGGAGCTCAGGGCTGTGGAAGAGCGGCTCGGTGCACCAGGAGGACGCTCTCTTGTTTGAAGCATGAACATATATTATTACAAACTTTACAACAGCTGAATAGTCAGTCCACCAATCACAGACCGGGGATGTAAAAGTGGGCGTGTCCAAGGCTGTGTGAGGCTTGGAGCAGCGTTAGTCGGTGGAAGTTTCCGCTTGTAAACTGCTGGCTCGAATAGCCAGGTTTGCAGAGGTTGAATGAATGAATGAATGTTTATTTGAACATGAAATAAAAAGAAGAGAGTAAGAACAAAAAAACAAAACAAACGACAATAAATACAAGACAACAACAACAAAAGACTGTCAACAACAAGACTTGGCACTTATTCCTCTTCAAAAGGAGCAGGAAGAAGCCAAAACATCCCAGCCCTGTTCCTTGTGTTTTTTAGTTCAAAACAAAGGGGAAGTTGGCGGTGCTCTGTGATTGGCTGAGGGAGCCTGGATGGGAGGGGCCTGGGTGGGAGGGGCTTCAGCGGGAAGCTACCAGACTGAAGTTCTACATCTGTAAGAACAGACTCATTCCTCTGAGTCGAAGCCCTCAGCTGCAGGTGTAATGTTGTGTTTGGTGGAAAATGTGGCAAATTGCGCACCTGATGAGCAAAGGTACGAGCACAGGGACCAGCACAGGGACCAGCGGCAGTGTAAATCCACAGGGACACAACTCTGATGGAGTCGTTACGCCCTGAATGAGGTCACTGTCCAGCGCCGCCAGCACAATACAGATTTACACAGAACCAGAGAGAGCAGCTGCACCGGCCTCAGCAGAGTTACTCCAGCAGAGAGGGGGAGGAAGGGGGAGAGTTACTCCAGCAGAGAGGGGGAGGAAGGGGGAGAGTTACTCCAGCAGAGAGGGGGAGGAAGGGGGAGAGTTACTCCAGCAGAGAGGGGGAGGAAGGGGGAGAGTTACTCTAGGAGAGAGGGGGAGGAAGGGGGAGAGTTACTCCAGCAGAGAGGGGGAGGGAGGGGAAGAGTTACTCTAGGAGAGAGGGGGAGGGAGGGGAAGAGTTACTCCAGCAGAGAGGGGGAGGGAGGGGAAGAGTTACTCTAGGAGAGAGGGGGAGGGAGGGGAAGAGTTACTCCAGGAGAGAGGGGGAGGTAGGAGTTACTCCAGCAGAGAGGGGGAGGGAGGGAGAGGGAGGGAGGGAGGGGGAGAGTTACTCCAGCAGAGAGGGGGGGGGGGGGGTAACAGCAGGGGAGGGTAGAAGGGAGGGAGGGGGGGTAACGACAGAGAAGGGGAGAAAGGAAAGAGAGGGGGGGCAGAGGAGAGGAGAGAGAAGGGGAGAGAGGAGAGAGGAGAGAGGAGGGGAGAGAGGAGAGAGAAGGGGAGAGAGGAGAGAGGAGAGAGAAGGGGAGAGAGGAGAGAGGAGAGAGAAGGGGAGAAAGGAGAGAGGAGGGGAGAAAGGAGAGAGGAGGGGAGAGAGGAGAGAGAAGGGGAGAGAGGAGAGAGGAGAGAGAAGGGGAGAGAGGAGAGAGAAGGGGAGAGAGGAGAGAGGAGGGGAGAGAGAACAGAGAAAGGGGGAGAAAACAGAGCGGGGGGAGAGGAGAAATCCAGTGGTAAATGACGACAGCAGCAGGACATTTCTGCAGAACTTCTCAGTATAGTTTGAATATGTTTTTCTGTTCACTGTTCTTTTCTTCTTACATAGTAACTCATTGTAAGAATTGATGGGATATCTCTGAAGCTAAGCAGGGCAGGGCCTGGTTAGCACAGTGATGGGAGACACCAAGTGCCAAACTGTGGTTGTGTTAGAATGAGTCTGGTGTGTGTGTGAATGGTTGGTGGTGGTGGGAGGGGCCGATGGCACAGACTGGTTGCCTCGCGTCTGTCAGTGTGTCCCAAGGCAGCTGTGGCTACAATAGCAGATTGCACCTTGTTTGGAGAGAGACTTTGAGAGTCCAGAAAAGAGCTGTCTAAAACGGATGCGGGGGCCTCTGTTGTATGTTTTTGGATGTTCTGATGATCTTGGGGGCCAGTGCCCTCGCCCCTGCACCTTCAACCCCCTCAGCCCTCTTTTGTCTCTCCCTTTCCTTCCTTGAGTTTCCTTTTTGGAGGTGATCAGAGGTGGACTTGTGTCTTCTTGAGGCGACATCTGAGTGACTTTCTTTGTGATGAAGTTTTGTCTGAATCCCATTGTGCACTTTCAGGTCTTTGAAGGTCCTGGGTTCTATTCCAGCTCCAGGCCTTTCTGTGTGGAATTTGAATTTTGTTTGTGTAGTTTTCCTGCAGGTGCTCCGGTGTCCCCTACCACTAAAAACATGTACATTAGGTCTGAATGTAATGAGTAAGTGGACGGTGTTGGTTTGGGGGCTTTGTGTTCGGTGTCACCGTGTGGAGAGAGAATGGAACAATATCTGAACTCTGGACATTGTGCTTGGGTGACCTTGGTCTGTAACATGCGCTATATAATTACAGATAACTTACTTATTTAAAGAAGCTATACCCAATTTCTTTTCTAAGTAGTTCATAAAAATGCTTTTTACTACATACAAGTTGTATCATAATACATAATTTAATTGAAAACTTGTGGTCTTTGATTCAGCGGTGTATGAGTTTAGGCCTTGAAAAGTGCTGAACAGAGTCTAAGCGGGACGCTCGTTCTCCTCCGCTCACAGAACGAGCAGTGAACAGCCTGCGTCCTCTAGCCTCTAAAGCGCTGCTTAACACCAGGGCTTCGACTTCAAAATTCGAATAAAATTCTAAAAGAAAATATATATATATATATATTAGAACAAATATTAGACAGCCCTTATAATTCGAAATGTATTTAATTGAGTGCAAATAAAATAGTTAGCTCCCAAAGGTTTCACCGGGACGTGCTAGGCAGGTAACAGCTAAGCTAGCTAGTTGTTTCATGGTTACTTCCGGGTTTTTCGCAATCGCTTTTTGTCACTTTAAAACAGTATTTTTGTCATGAAAACGTTAACAGCAAATTCTGAAATCGTCCGTGCATGTGTGTTAAGGATGTATATGTGTACTGTATTGTCCGATTGACGTTTAATGGAGTTGATTGATTGACATGTATTTGTTTATTGAGCGTGGCTAGCTGCGCTAGCTCCGTTGGCTTCTCTACACAGACAAGTGTGCAGAGAAACTGCACAGTGTAGTGACAGGCGCTGATAGCTTGTTGTACTTGCAGAGTAATGGCAGTATTTTACACACCTGAATTACAAACAGAGATTGCATTGGGGCTGCGGTCATTATTGGTTTGAGAGTTCTGTTATCAAGAAAAAATGATCGGAAGAATTGCATTCAAGTCAATGGAGTGTTCTACTGCTGCTGTGAAGAGCTGTATAATAAATTATAATTAAATATTAGAATATATTCTAATGTTTAAATTAATACATTCGGACGCGAAACTAGCGGTATTCTTTTACTTATATATTGTGTTAGCAGTGTGTTGCTTTAGTACCATTTCATCAGTGATTGTTGTACAGCTTACAAGTAGTTGCGCTAATGCCAATGTTAGCATACGTATCAGATCGCACATAAAACTAGATTGCTCTGTGTTATGAGAGCGTAGGGGAAATGAGAAGCCTGTGAGCGAGTTGGGGGGCGGTGCTAAACATTCAAACATTGCAGAAACGGGTATAGCGCCTTTAAAGGAGAAGTCTGTAAAAATGTGGCCAAAAGTGGTACTGCAGCCTCTCCCACTCTCCCTGACTCAGGTTGCCAGATATGCAGACGAATCCAGCTGGGACCGTAATAGCTGAATAGACAAGAGTTTTGTAAACAACAAATCTATAACCAACACCTTTTTCACAAAGATAGTAATCCTGGTTTTATTTCTTGTTTTGTCGTAAATTATTTGAGAATCATAACGAGACCTTTTTAGTTCTGCGCCACATGGTACTTTACCAGTGAGATTAGCTCCACGTGGTGAGTTCTGACGCCCGGATCACAGACTTTCTGATTGGTGAAACGGTGGAGGACGGGACATCAAAATGAAAAAATTTAGGGGCTGGAAAAGTAATTTTGAAATTAAAATATCTCTGAACTACTGTTATCAGTTAAAGAAGTATTGGAAAAGAGCAGTTTATTATTATGACGGATTAGGGCCCTTTAATGATGAGATTAGGGCCCTAACCCGGTCCGGTCCGGTCCATCCCTGAGTCCGATCCATCCCTGAGTCCGGACTGAGACTGAGGTACATATTCTCCTGCCTCCTCGTTGTTCTTTAAGCGTGCACTGGTCACTGTTGTCAGTTGCTGCAGATTAGCGTCGGACTTGGACATATGAGTGTACTTGCTGCCAGCCTAAACAATATGGCCGCCCTCCCCCTCCGCCGCTGGTGGCCCGGAGGTCAGGGAGAAGCGGTGTTTGGATGATGCGGCAGGCGGGACCGTGTACTGATGTGATTACGTCGTGTTACGGCGGCGTCAGAGTCTTTCCCGCAGCAGCTGCAGAGGACGCCACGGTCCCGCTGCAGATGGAGCTGTGACAGAGGACGCACAGGACGCCACGGTCCCGCTGCAGGTCCAGGGGAGAGCTACACGATGGATTTCACAATTTATATTCAATCTGAGAGACTGGAACAGACAAAACATGGTATTATTAGAATTGTAAAATGGTTGGCAGTAATCTGACTCTACATAAATGACACATATGACTCTGAGGACAGTGTTTTCAACATTACATTTATTGTGCAGGACAGAATGTGGTCAGGACTTGGCCTTAGACCCCGGCAGAGAACTGTGATGATGTAGAAGAGAGAGATCCTTTATTCATTCCACAGTGAGGAAATGTACATGCAGAGCACACAGGGAGCACAAATATATAAAATAAGTAGCTTCTTAGCTGTAAATGCTTCAATTTCAATCTTTCAAAAAAAAAAAAAAAAATACTGTATATATTCTACACTATGCACTACATATAACCTGAATGTGGTGCGGAGTTATATACTGTACATATAGAGCAGGAGTTATATACTGTACATATAGAGCAGGAGTTATATACTGTACATATAGGACAGGAGTTATTTACTGTACATATAGAGCAGGAGTTATTTACTGTACATATAGAGCAGGAGTTATATACTGTACATATAGAGCAGGAGTTATATACTGTACATATAGAGCAGAGTTATATACTGTACATATAGGACAGGAGTTATATACTGTACATATAGGACAGGAGTTATTTACTGTACATATAGAGCAGGAGTTATATACTGTACATATAGAGCAGGAGTTATATACTGTACATATAGAGCAGAGTTATATACTGTACATATAGGACAGGAGTTACAGTGCCTTGCAAAAGTATTCGGCCCCCTTGAACTTTTCAACCTTTTGCCACATTTCAGGCTTCAAACATAAAGATATAAAACTGTAATTTTTTGTGAAGAATCAACAACAAGTGGGACACAATCATGAAGTGAAACGAAATTTATTGGATATTTCAAACTTTTTTAACAAATAAAAAACTGAAAAATTGGGCGTGCAAAATTATTCAGCCACCTTAAGTTAATACTTTGTAGCGCCACCTTTTGCTGCGATTACTGCTGTAAGTCGCTTGGGGTATGTCTTTATCAGTTTTTCACATTGAGAGACTGAAATATTTGCACATTCCTCCTTGCAAAACAGCTCGAGCTCAGTGACGTTGGATGGAAAGCGTTTGTGAGCAGCAGTTTTTAGTTGTTTCCACAGATTCTCGATCGGATTCAGGTCTGGACTTTGACTTGGCCATTCTAACACCTGGATACGTCTATTTGTAAACCACTTCATTGTATATTTTGCTTTATGTTTTGGATCATTGTCTTGTTGGAAGATAAATCTCCGTCCCAGTCTCAGGTCTTTTGCAGACTCCAACAGGTTTTCTTCCAGAATAGTCCTGTATTTGGCTCCATCCATCTTCCCATCAATTTTAACCATCTTCCCTGTCCCTGCTGAAGAAAAACAGGCCCGAACCATGATGCTGCCACCACCATGTTTGACAGTGGGGATGGTGTGTTCAGGGTGATGAGCTGTGTTGCGTTTACGCCAAACATATCGTTTTGCATTGTTGCCAAAAAGTTTGATTTTGGTTTCGTCCGACCAGAGCACCTTCTTCCACATGTTTGGTGTGTCTCCCAGGTGGCTTGTTGCAAACTTTAACAACACTTTTTATGGATATCTTTAAGAAATGGCTTTCTTCTTGCCACTCTTCCATAAAGGCCAGAGTTGTGCAGTGCACGACTGATTGTTGTCCTGTGGACAGAGTCTCCCACCTCAGCTGTACATTTCTGCAGTTCATTCAGAGTGATCATGGGCCTCTTGGCAGCATCTCTGATCAGTTTTATCCTTGTATGAGCTGAAAGTTTAGAGGAAAGGCCGGGTCTTTGTAGATTTGCAGTGGTCTGATACTCCTTCCATTTCAATATTATCGCTTGCACGGTGCTCCTTGGGATGTTTAAAGCTTGGGAAATCTTTTTGTATCCAAATCCGGCTTTAAACTTCTCCACAACAGTATCTGGGACCTGCCTGGTGTGTTCCTTGTTCTTCATGATGCTCTCTGCGCTTTAAACAGAACTCTGAGACTATCAAAGAGCAGGTGCATTTATACGGAGACTTGATTACACACAGGTGCATTCTATTAATCAT